CCCCCCCTACCCCACCTCCACTTACCACAAATCAGCACCCTATGGTCACGCGTTCCAAAACTGGCATAACCTGTCCCAAACATATCCTCAACCTCAACACCACTGTTCCCATCTCTCCTCTCCCGCTCACCTACCGTAGTGCTCTCAAAGACCCCAATTGGCACAATGCTATGTGTGAGGAATTTAATGCATTGATCAAGAATGACACATGGGAATTAGTACCCCCCTCCCCTCACCAAAATATCATAATCGGAAAATGGCTTTTTAGGCACAAACTTGGCCCTACAGGTGAGTTAACCAGGTACAAAGCTCGATGGGTTGTTCGGGGCTTCAACCAGAGATTCGGAGTCGACTATGATGAGACATTTAGCCCTGTGATCAAGCCAGCCACCATACGTATCATTCTCAGCCTTGCTCTCTCTCGAGGATGGCCGATTCATCAGTTGGACGTCAAAAATTCCCTTTCTTCATGGCCACCTGCAGGAGGTTGTCTACGCCTCTCAGCCATCCAGATTCCAGGAACCCCACAGGCCCAATTATGTATGCAGGCTCAAGAAGGCTCTCTATGGCTTGAAACAGGCACCCCGCTCATGGTACCAACGATTTGCTGGATTCATCTTCACACTGGGGTTTCGAGGGTGTAAGTCGGACACCTCTCTCTTTATCTACTCTCATGGGACAGACACTGCCTACCTACTCCTCTATGTTGATGACATTGTCCTCACAGCTTCCTCCGACTCTCTTCTTCGGCGCTTGACTGAGTGCCTCAAGGGGGAATTTGCTATGACTGACATGGGTGACCTTCATTTTTTCTTGGGCATCAATGTCCATCGGACAGCTCATGGTCTCTTTCTACATCAGACACAGTTCACTCACGACATCCTTGAGCGTGCCGGTATGATTACGTGTCGTCCCATCTCCACTCTTGTCGACACGAAGGCTAAATTATCTGGCACATCGGGTCCCCTGGTAGCCGAGCCTGCCCTCCAGTATCTCACATTTACTAGGCCAGACATCTCCTACTCTGTTCAGCAGCTCTGTCTCCACCTTCACGCCCCTCGAGATGTCCACGTCACAGCTATGAATCGGGTACTACGCTATCTCCGCGGCACCTCCACCTATGGTATGACTCTTTCTCCGACTAGCACAGATTCCCTTCAGGGCTACTCCGATGCTGATTGGGCTGGATGCCCCGACACCAGACGATCCACATCAGGTTACTATGTCTTCCTTGGGGACAACCTCATCTCTTGGTCCTCCAAGCGTCAGGCCACCATTTCCCGATCCAGTGCTGAAGCTGAATACCGAGCCGTCGCTAATGCCGTTGCCGAGACCAGCTAGATCCAAAATCTCCTACTAGAGGTACAGCAACCCCTACGCCGCGTGTTATACCCGAGACCCGGGGTCTTATCACGTTGCTATTTTAGAGAAGGAATTATGGGGAGGTGAGGGGGAAATGGGGTGGCTGAAATATTATGGGGCAAAAGGGGAGTTCTTTTGGTGTTTTTTTAATGAAGAAAAAGAATGAGATTAAGAGGAGAAATGGGGGGATATGAAATGGAAGAAAATTCAGGGATGGATAAACCAAGTTGGTGTTTAAGAGATATTACACACTCTTATCCTAACTTGGGGTTTGAATCTAGAATTTAATTAAGATATGACACACTTAATTAAATATCTAGAACCTAAAACTCACACTTAAGATAACCACTCTTAAGATATAGAATTAGGGATTTGGCTAAAATAGCATCACACTATTTTATAAATACTCAAAGAGTAAAAGGAGTTTTTAATAATTCAGAGATGATCATTACAAGGGCCAAATGGCCAAAATATATAAGGAGGGGAGAGGAGGGAAACACACAATATAATGAATGCAAATACAAGGAACCTTCCTACATCCCTTTATCATTCACTAGCTTCCAATCTTGAGTTGATAAGGGCTGATTTTGTTTGACTTTGTCTTGGCTTTGGAGCTGGCTTTGTCTGTCCTGTTGTGGAGGCAAAAATCA